TGAGGCTGTAGACCCAGGACTGAGGCTGTAGACCCAGGACTGAGACTGTAGACCCAGGACTGAGGCTGTAGACCCAGGACTGAGGCTGTAGACCCAGGACTGAGGCTGTAGACCCAGGACTGAGGCTGTAGACCCAGGACTGACCCAGGACTGAGCTGTAGACCCAGGACTGAGGCTGTAGACCCAGGACTGAGGCTGTAGACCCAGGACTGAGGCTGTAGACCCAGGACTGAGGCTGTAGACCCAGGACTGAGGCTGTAGACCCAGGACTGAGGCTGTAGACCCAGGACTGAGGCTGTAGACCCAGGACTGAGGCTGTAGACCCAGGACTGAGGCTGTAGACCCAGGACTGAGGCTGTAGACCCAGGACTGAGGCTGTAGACCCAGGACTGAGGCTGTAGACCCAGGACTGAGGCTGTAGACCCAGGACTGAGGCTGTAGACCCAGGACTGAGGCTGTAGACCCAGGACTGAGGCTGTAGACCCAGGACTGAGGCTGTAGACCCAGGACTGAGGCTGTAGACCCAGGACTGAGGCTGTAGACCCAGGACTGAGGCTGTAGACCCAGGACTGAGGCTGTAGACCCAGGACTGAGGCTGTAGACCCAGGACTGAGGCTGTAGACCCAGGACTGAGGCTGTAGACCCAGGACTGAGGCTGTAGACCCAGGACTGAGGCTGTAGACCCAGGACTGAGGCTGTAGACCCAGGACTGAGGCTGTAGACCCAGGACTGAGGCTGTAGACCCAGGACTGAGGCTGTAGACCCAGGACTGAGGCTGTAGACCCAGGACTGAGGCTGTAGACCCAGGACTGAGGCTGTAGACCCAGGACTGAGGCTGTAGACCAGGACTGAGGCTGTAGACCCAGGACTGAGGCTGTAGACCCAGGACTGAGGCTGTAGACCCAGGACTGAGGCTGTAGACCCAGGACTGAGGCTGTAGACCCAGGACTGAGGCTGTAGACCCAGGACTGAGGCTGTAGACCCAGGACTGAGGCTGTAGACCCAGGACTGAGGCTGTAGACCCAGGACTGAGGCTGTAGACCCAGGACTGAGGCTGTAGACCCAGGACTGAGGCTGTAGACCCAGGACTGAGGCTGTAGACCCAGGACTGAGGCTGTAGACCCAGGACTGAGGCTGTAGACCCAGGACTGAGGCTGTAGACCCAGGACTGAGGCTGTAGACCCAGGACTGAGGCTGTAGACCCAGGACTGAGGCTGTAGACCCAGGACTGAGGCTGTAGACCCAGGACTGAGGCTGTAGACCCAGGACTGAGGCTGTAGACCCAGGACTGAGGCTGTAGACCCAGGACTGAGGCTGTAGACCCAGGACTGAGGCTGTAGACCCAGGACTGAGGCTGTAGACCCAGGACTGAGGCTGTAGACCCAGGACTGAGGCTGTAGACCCAGGACTGAGGCTGTAGACCCAGGACTGAGGCTGTAGACCCAGGACTGAGGCTGTAGACCCAGGACTGAGGCTGTAGACCCAGGACTGAGGCTGTAGACCCAGGACTGAGGCTGTAGACCCAGGACTGAGGCTGTAGACCCAGGACTGAGGCTGTAGACCCAGGACTGAGGCTGTAGACCCAGGACTGAGGCTGTAGACCCAGGACTGAGGCTGTAGACCCAGGACTGAGGCTGTAGACCCAGGACTGAGGCTGTAGACCCAGGACTGAGGCTGTAGACCCAGGACTGAGGCTGTAGACCCAGGACTGAGGCTGTAGACCCAGGACTGAGGCTGTAGACCCAGGACTGAGGCTGTAGACCCAGGACTGAGGCTGTAGACCCAGGACTGAGGCTGTAGACCCAGGACTGAGGCTGTAGACCCAGGACTGAGGCTGTAGACCCAGGACTGAGGCTGTAGACCCAGGACTGAGGCTGTAGACCCAGGACTGAGGCTGTAGACCCAGGACTGAGGCTGTAGACCCAGGACTGAGGCTGTAGACCCAGGACTGAGGCTGTAGACCCAGGACTGAGGCTGTAGACCCAGGACTGAGGCTGTAGACCCAGGACTGAGGCTGTAGACCCAGGACTGAGGCTGTAGACCCAGGACTGAGGCTGTAGACCCAGGACTGAGGCTGTAGACCCAGGACTGAGGCTGTAGACCCAGGACTGAGGCTGTAGACCCAGGACTGAGGCTGTAGACCCAGGACTGAGGCTGTAGACCCAGGACTGAGGCTGTAGACCCAGGACTGAGGCTGTAGACCCAGGACTGAGGCTGTAGACCCAGGACTGAGGCTGTAGACCCAGGACTGAGGCTGTAGACCCAGGACTGAGGCTGTAGACCCAGGACTGAGGCTGTAGACCCAGGACTGAGGCTGTAGACCCAGGACTGAGACCAGGACTGAGGCTGTAGACCCAGGACTGAGGCTGTAGACCCAGGACTGATCCACAAAAAAAAAATGGGGACAACACACACTAGAGAACAATCTCTTTCATAGGGGTTTTTGGGTCGGTCCGGTTTTTCACCACAAAAATTTTAACAATTTATTTGGGGCCTTGGGCTTCAACGTTTTCCAGGAAAAGGAGAAAAAGTTTGGAGAAAAGAAGTAAAAAAACCCCACTCTAATTTCAAGCTCTTTTCATGGGAAAAAGGGATATTTTTTTATAGGTGAATGAAGCCAGGGCACTCTTTTTTGGGGCCGGGGGGAAACAAAAAAAAAAAAAAAAAAAACTAAAAAAATTGACATTATGTCATGAAACAAAAAGGAAATAAAGCTGCTTAAAAATATTTGGTGTGTTTTTATAATTTTTTTCTAAAATTCTCCCACACCATCAAGAACAAACAACGGGGACCACGCTGCAAAATAAATGGGGGCACCATAATTAACAACACAAAAAACCCCAGGCAAAAAAAACCAACCCAAAAAAACAGTGGACTTGTTTTTCCCCCCCCCCCCCCACACACCCTCCCCCCCCCCCCCCCAAACAAAAATAACGGCCATTTAATTGTTCCAGCTATGTTTGTATTGAAACTTGGGGCCCAGGTCCAATTAGAAATTAAATTCATTGGACCCCAGGGGACTGAAAAATTTGGGGAAACAGCTTGAACCCGCGTGCCAATCCAGTGGTTGGACCAAAATATTTGAAAAAGGCAAATTCGCCGCCTTTTCCTCTAGGCGCGTTCAGGGCCTTCCTTTTATCTGAGGAGGGCAAAAAGCCAGATAGATATAAAAAAACGCTGTTGGGAATTTGGAGCACAAAAAGAACATCTGCAAAATTTAGGTGTTCTGAGTTTGTGGCTATCCTTGAAACCATTAGCATAGAAAAAAACCCCAGCGGTTTTTTTGGCGGGCCAGTGGTAAGGGAAAGCCCTTGTATTTTCATATATTTGTCATTTTTGCAGGGCTTGGACATCTATTTTTTTTCCCTCGCATGGAAAATTCCGCCTCCCCCTTTATTTCAAAGCAAGGAAAAAGGGGATTTTAAAAAAATTTACACCCATGAGGAAGATCTACCTTTATATTCCAAACCAAAAAAGCCTGGGGATTTAAAGGCAAAACCTTCGTCATTCAATTACCAGCACAACAACAAAAAAAAGCCACGAAACAAAGCTGCCGGGAAAAAAAAACACAGGGGGGGAAAGAAAAACCAAAGCGGGTCCGGGGGCAGAATACTTCAGTGAATGTTTTCAAAAAAATTGTCCAAAAAAACACACAAAAGCCCACCCCAGTTCTATTATAAATGCGGGGCACTTTTTGGGAAACAATTCGTCAAAACAAATATGCAAACATTACGGAATAGTTTCTCAAAAAATTATACGTTAACAAAGGAAATGTTGTATTTGTCTTTGGGCCCAGAACCCCTCCCAAGATAGAAGGGCAAAAAAGAGGAGAGGTCTGTTCTATGAATTTTTCTAAAAGATGATGGACAAGGGCAGTTTGTGGCAAAAAAAAGGTCTCGCCCAAAAGGGTTGGGGATAGGCACAGTTGTTCAAACACCCCAAAAAAAAACCATAAAACATGGTTTCTAATAAAATCCTATTCTACTTTATGGGAAAAAAACAATTTGGTCATCTTGCCCCTTTTGTGGGGGGAACCAATACTAACTGTGGGTTTTCGCCTACTTTACTACTACTTACTTACCACATTTTTACTAACATTATTTGTTACTATGTCGAAATAAGAAGTCGTTTGATTTAAATGTTGTATATATGTACATTGAATTTAACATAAATAAATAAAAAGACAGCCCCCCCTGCGTCCTACGAGCTTAAACAGGAAAGTTTTACAGAATCAATCAAACAACATTATTTCTGGCTACTTCAAGGAAGCAGTGGTCACTGTAGGCAATATCTTCACATAATCTGCAGGTGAAGGACGTCCAGAGACCGTTCCAGACAACAACACATACCGTGAGGTCCTGCACATGCGCAGTTGAAAACTCGTAATTTTGAGTTTTAAAGTCGTAATTTTGACTTTTAAACTCAAAATTTTGACTTTGTTTGCTTATTTTTTTTTTACATGGCGGAAACGGGCTTCCATAGGCATGACTACGTGCGTTAATATTTAGTCTATGGTTCAGCCAAACGCCTCTGGTGGAGCATGGCGGAACTACAATGGTCTGGTGGACTCAGGCTAGCTTATTGTACGGCTTGGTACCAACTGAACACACAAAAAACAAACTTCAGTCCACTTTAATGAATGTCAAAAGGTTTATTTAATGACTGCAAATAAAATAGTTCCCAAAGGTTTTGCTGTTGGGGTCCGTTATCAAGAAATAATGACCGTAGAACGTTTTTACTGCTGCTGTGAAGCTGTAAAATAATATTTAAATAATGTTCAGTATGTTACTCTGACTCAGTAATTTGTGTGTGTGTGTGTGTGTGTGTGTGTGTGTGTGTGTGTGTGTGTTAATGCTGTGTGTGTGTGTGGGACTGTGTGACTGTGTGTGTCTTACCACACTGTAAATGTTTAGTGTTGCATTATTTGTAGGAAAATCAGTTTAAAAACACAGATGGATGCAGCAAAAAGAGCCTCATTCAGAGCCATATATTTGATTCAGTCAGTGTTGTCCTCCATCCTCCTCTTCTGCTCCTCCTCCTCGTCTGTCTCTTCTTCTGCTCCTCCTCTTCTTCTGCTCCTCCTCTCTCCGGAACTGCCCTCTGCGAAACAAACACACAGATCTTAAAAGAGCGACTAAACACCTGTGCCTAGCCTGACTCCGAAGGCGGGGGTCTGGGCTGTGATTGACAGCTCGCTTGTCACACACAAAAACAGTTGTCATTGCTGCTTAAAAAAATAGTTTACAATCCAGAAAGTCTCATTCCTTTGTTTACACACTAAGATAATCTGATGTAATATAATATTAATCCACTAGATGTCGCCAGAACACTCCGACCCGTCACTGGGGCGTGTGAGAGACTTCTACTGGGGAAGTATGTGACAGCATGAAAGCGTTGAAGCACTAAAAGAGTTTTGAACCACTCTGTATTTGGATCTGTTTGAGGCGAGTGGCTGATCTCTCTTTCACAGCCATGATCTCAGGGCCGGCAGAAGTCACCCTACAGTAAACTCCAGCCACAATCACTTGCAAATACATATTAGGAATATATTAAATATTACACTAATCATTACTATATTATTATTGGTAGCGGAGATGAGCATTCAGCAGCTCCGCCTGTCCAAGCGTCCTGTACTTCCTTTAAGTGTGATGAAGATGTTATTATTTTTTATTATTTATTTATGTGTTGTTTTTCATTTAGGGACTGTGTGAATTGTGAATAAACTAAACTTGAACGGGTTTATACCACTGGCGCAGAGAGACGCACGTCTCACACCACTGACGTCACACACACACCAACTGACGGCACACACATACCCAACTGACGTCACACACACCAACTGACGTCACACACACACCAACTGACGTCACACACACACCAACTGACGTCACACACACACCAACTGACGTCACACACACACCAACTGACGTCACACACACACCAACTGACGTCACACACACACCAACTGACGTCACACACACACCAACTGACGTCACACACACACCAACTGACGTCACACACACACCAACTGACGTCACACACACACCAACTGACGTCACACACACACCAACTGACGTCACACACACCAACTGACGTCACACACACCAACCGACGTCACACACACCAACCGACGTCACACACATCAACCGACGTCACACACACCAACCGACGTCACACACACACCAACTGACGTCACACACACACCAACTGACGTCACACACACACCAACTGACGTCACACACACACCAACTGACGTCACACACACCAACTGACGTCACACACACACCAACTGACGTCACACACACCAACCGACGTCACACACACCAACCGACGTCACACACACCAACCGACGTCACACACACACCAACTGACGTCACACACACACCAACTGACGTCACACACACACCAACTGACGTCACACACACACCAACTGACGTCACACACACCAACTGACGTCACACACACACCAACTGACGTCACACACACCAACCGACGTCACACACACCAACCGACGTCACACACACCAACCGACGTCACACACACCAACCGACGTCACACACACACCAACCGACGTCACACACACACCAACTGACGTCACACACACACCAACCGACGTCACACACACACCAACCGACGTCACACACACACCAACTGACGTCACACACACCAACCGACGTCACACACACCAACCGACGTCACACACACCAACCGACGTCACACACACCAACCGACGTCACACACACCAACCGACGTCACACACACCAACCGACGTCACACACACCAAATGACGTAAATGTAGTGCCACCAAAAAGGCAGAGAGGGCGCCACAGAGACGGTTTTAGGCTCAAAAATGAGATTTTATCTAATTTGCCCTGAAATGTTAACAATAAAAGACTAGGACATTTAAAGGGCACTATGAGAAACGTGTTTATGCAGTTTATGAGTTTAAAAAAAGTTGATTTGGTGTTTAATTGTCCTTTTAACAACATTCTTCAGTTTCTCTTTCTCAAACTTCACCACAAACTTTAAGATTCTGATTCACTTTTATCAATGTCGAAAGTTTACTTGTTGGTTCAATGAGAGAGAGACCAGAGAGAGACCAGAGAGACCAGAATGTTGGCGCAGCCTTCGCCATAAAAGAGTAAATCACCGGAGTGACGGAGGAGTAACTTAATGCAGAGACATAGATTCAGTTTGGCTTCATGCGTTCTACACAGGTGCATGAGCAGACAGCCATTGTGTAGCCACGCACTCATCTTTGAAGATGACCGTGGCTCCTTGCGCTGTAGCTGCTTTAACAGAAAAAATGTCCTGTGAAAATGATGGAACGTAGAGCGCTTCCATCAGCTTCACCTCCACGACACGGCCTTTACGGTCTCTCAGACGGACTTTAGCGGTACCCTTCTTTTGGGCAATACCACAATGGCCCTCCATCAGCCAACTCCAGAATGTGGCTCTGAGGGTTAAAAGTTGGATCAAAATCCTCGAATCTTCCGACGTCCGTGATGATGTGCTTCGTCGCTCCCGAGTCAACCATCAGACCTTTCACTTTGACACCACCGATCGGAGCATCCTTGAGCTTGAACGCGAACGTGTGGTCCTCCTCGTCCACCGCCTGCTTCACCCTGTCCCGTTGTTTGCGCCAACAGTGCGCGTCTTTGTGCGTTGAGCTCCTGCAGAAGCTGCGCCACAGCCTCAGCTCCCGGCGCTCCCCAGCAGCTGACACACACTCCGCTGCTTTGTGCCCCTTCTGGCCACAGGTGTAGCAGGTGAGTCTTGCGCTCCAGTTCTCTCTTCCTCCAACTTTCATGACACTGTCTTCTCCCGAACCAGAAGCTCCAAACTTTTCTGTACTCTTGTAGCTTCGGAGTTTTGTTTTAAACTCTGCAAATGTCAAGTGTGTCATCACTCTGTGTAACGTGAACAGAGAAGGGTGTGTACACGTCAGGCAGGCCTTTTAATATCATTGCAGTCAATAAGCCATCGCTCAGTGTCTCTCCTGCATTACGTAGCGCCGTGATAGCAGTCTCTGCACGGATAATGTAGTCTCTCATTGACTCCTTTTTGAAGAGATGTCAGCTCCGTGTACAAACTTATTACGCGCGGCTTCCCTTTGCCTGCGTAATCATCACGGAGGATCTGCAGCGACTTTCTGCCATCATCAACGGCTTCTCTCATTACAAGAGACAAACTTTTATCGTCCAGTAGTTGAATTAGAACTCCGTCATTCTTCATTCTTACTGGCGTCTTCCACGACATTCTCCGCACCTGCTGCGGGGGCTTGACTCAGTATGGTGCTTTTGAGATCCATCAGACGTAAGTGTGCCAGAAACTTAAGTCTCCCACAATTCATAGTTCTTTTCATCTCCGTCAAAACATAAACGGTTCCATTGGTTTCCAAACTCTTTACTGGGCCCATAACCTGTTGGCGCAGCCATCGCCATAAAAGAGTGAATCGCCGGAGTGACGGAGGAGTAACTTAACGCAGAGACATAGATTCAGTTTGGCTTCATGCGTTCTACACAGGTGCATGAGCAGACAGCCATTTATTATCATTGCGCACCGGTGTGTAGCCACGCCCACCCAGAAAGTAGGTCACTGGGTCAATTGAGGACATACATTCAACACAGAAAGAGACCAGAAAGAGAGAGGGACCAGAAAGAGACCAGAGAGAGACCAGAGAGAGAGACCAGGGAGAGACCACAGAGAGAGACCATTGAGAGAGGTGCTCCGCTCTGAAAGTAGACTGATCTATCTGTTCTGGAGGTTCTTTATGAATCCAGACTCTTTAACCGAGCTCCAAGAATAATCACCCAATCTTCTGTCCCCTGGAAAAGCCATGATCCAGCTTCTTCCCTCTGGCAGCGGTGCAGGACATCTGTATATGCTAACATGCTAACAGCTTCTTTCCACAACCTGTCATCAGTCTGACCAAAGCGCTTGTACTGAAGCTGGTTTTGTTCATTAGTCTCACAGTGACAATTGTTCCTTGTATTTTGTTTTATTCCTGTCCTTGTCTGGTGCAAACTGGGGACTCTCACACATGTATTCCAATGGGGTTTTACTGCAAACGGCAAAAGAACTGAACCTGAACACGCCCCACCTGGACTGCCAGCGCCGGCCGGTCTCCCACACTCGCCCAAACGAGGGAAGCCAGTTAGCGTCCGTGTGCGAGCCGTGGTCGAAGTTAGCGCCCACTCGGTTCGGAGGCAGCTTCTTCAGTTTCTCCTGCTCCTCTGCAACAACAAGAAGACAACAGCTTTCCTCAAACGACAAGAACACTCTTTTAATGCGTATTAAAACAGTTAATGCGTAACAGTTAATGTGCCGCACAACAGAGCTTTTGCAGCGAGCTCTTAAAATCATCAAAGGAGGGAGCACATAACTCTGGTGTGAAAATCACTCCCCTGGCTCCCTGTGGAGTACAGAATAAAGTTTAAAATCCTTCTCTTAACATATAAAGCCATAAATGGCTCCAAGACACGTCAGTGTCATATCAACCAAGTCGAGCGTTGCGCTCACAAAACGCCAGACGTCTGGCGGTTCCTAAGGTCTCAAAAAGCACTGTCGGCGGCAGAGCATTTAGCTCCAAGCTCCTTTACTGTGGACTCAGCTTCCCATTTATGTTAAGGAAGCAGATACGGTCTCCACATTCAAGGCCAGGCTTAAAGCACTCTACTTTAATTTAGCATATAGTTAGGCCGTTTGCCTGGATCGGTTTGCACACCTGGTGTGCAATCCATGAATCTTGGTGCTGTAACCTAGACTAGCCTAGCCGTGGCTGCTGTCTCGCCTCCTTTCAGATACGCTCTCTTTATTCAAGGCTAGGTTTAAAACAGTCCTCTTTAGTTTAGCATATGGCTAGGAAGGTAAGACTCAGGGAAGGCTAAACTCCTCAGACTGTCAGTCAAGCTGCATAGGGAGCCCCCTGCTGGAGAAGTATGGTAACTTGAGCACTATCCTCTCCTTCTTACTTTATCTGTTTGGCATTATTAGGATTTTGACTGTAGTTTGTTCATTGCTATTCACCCGTTGTCCCATTGTCTGTTTCATGGTACGATGACGGGATCTCTGAGCCTGGCCTCCTCCATCTACACCTGCGGACTGCCCCGTCCGACCCGCCTGGGAGTGCTTCAGTCCTGCACCGGACCTGTCCACGTTCAGCGGCCACTGGTCCACGTTCTGTAGCTAGCTTAGGTCCTAGATCATTAGCCTGTCCGTCCGGAGGAGCGGATCCCTTTCTCAAATGGGTCTCCCTCCCTGTGGGTTTCCCTAGGTCTCCCCAAGGTTTCTCACTTTTTCCCACTGGGTTTTTTAAGAGTTTTTCCTTGCCGATGCAGGAGGGTCTTGTTGGACAGTTAGTGTCCAACAGAAAGGATTGGTGATGATCAGGACACTTTAGCATTCTACAACATGTATGGACATTTTCTTCTGTGTGTGCTTTATATTCTCCATGTGTTTTAACTGTTGATTCTCTGACCTGTGTTGGTGATTTCAATGGTTTTGTTAAGTCCTCTGAGATGACTTCTGTTGTGACCTAGGGCTATACAAGAATAAATTGTATTGTATTGTATTGAATCAATGACTCTTCTTGCCACCCTGGTAAAGCCATGTTCCAGCTTCTTCCCTCGGGCAGAAGATATCGGTCGCTGAGATGCAAGACATCTCGCTTTGCTAACAGCTTCTTTCCACAATCTGTGGGTGTCTAAACAGAGCACTTTAACTGTTGCTTTGTCGTATCGGTTTTTTTGTCAATCGGTGCCACAGTGTCAGCTGTTTTTATTCATGTTCAGTGATGTGTGTTTTATATTGTTCTATTGTTGATATATTATTACATTGTACTGTGCTCTTTATTCTGTCGGTGCACACAGAGTACCTTTTTTTTTGCAAATGTATTCCAATGTGGTTTTTATACTGCACATGGCCAATAAAATGTATCTGAATCTGATCTAATGCACAACATTTTAGGAAACATTAGTAGAGTTCCTTCAGGACAGAAGCGGACCCCGGCAAGACTTATTTTCCTGTCTGTACTTATTTTCCTGTCCGTACTTATTTTCCGATAATGACCTGCTTTACATGATCTCTGACTTACGAATGTGGTTTGGTTTGAATACGAGCAGAAAAACAAAAAAGGAACGGACTGTGTTTGAGGAAGCCCTGGAGAGAAGGCCCCTGCTCCTGCTGCGGCGCTGAGGCTGATCCGGAGCCGCCTTCCAGAGGGTCCTCGTCCTGTTGGAGCCACGGGGGAAGGGCTCCTAATCACACAGAGACGAGAAAACTGCAGTTTAACAACTATAGTTCACTTCACTTTAATAAACTGTCCTGTCTGTGGACCAGAGAGAGACTAGAGAGAGACCAGAGGGAGACTAGAAAGAGTGGAGAGAGACAAGAGAGAGGGATCAGAGAGAGACTAGAAAGAGAAAACAGAGGGGGAGTAAAGAGAGACTAGAAAAATAGAGGAGAGAGACCAGGGAGAGACCAGAGATAGACCAGAGAGAGAACAGAGAGGGGGTGGAGAGAGACAAGAAAGAGAGCGGAGAGAGACGAGAGAGAGACCAAAGAGAGAGACCAGAGAGACCAGAGAGAGACCAGAGAGAGGGATCAGAGAGACCAGAGAGAGACTAGAAAGAGAACAGAGAGGGAGTGAAGAGAGACCAGAGAGAGACCAAAGAGAACCTAGATGGAGACCAGAGAGAGAGAGCAGAGGGAGACCAGGCAGAGAGACCAGGAGAGACCAGGCAGAGAGACCAGAGCCAGAGAGAACAGAGAGAGGCCGGAGAGAGACCAGAGAGAGGGATCAGAGAGACCAGAGAGAGACTAGAAAGAGAACAGCGAGGGAGTGAAGAGAGACCAGAGAGACCAGAAAGAGAGACCAGAGAGAACCTAGATGGAGACCAGTGAGAGAGAGCAGAGAGACCAGGCAGAGAGACCAGGCAGAGAGACCAGGCAGAGAGACCAGGCAGAGAGACCAGAGAGAGACCAGAGCCAGAGAGAACAGAGAGGCAGAGAGACCAGAGCCAGAGAGAACAGAGAGGCCGGAGAAAGACCAGAGAGAGAGCAGAGAGAGACCAGATAGAGACCAGAGAGAGATCCTGAGTCTAGACCATGCGTTGTATAAAACCAATCACAGTCAGACGACAGCGTTACCTGTGTGTACGTTTCCAGCGTCTGAGTTCTGTTGAGAGACAAACAATAATCAGTGATGGTCCCTTCATGGTCCTCAGCATCAGTCCTCACCTGGTTCCCGATGTAGGTCAGTCCTGCTGCGGAGTAGGGGACATCAGGCGGAGGCTCCAGACTCCTGCTGCTCGTCTGTGGCCGGCTCTCCTCAGATACACCACCACTGGGAACCATGTGAACCATGAGAGACACCATGAGAAACACCATGAGAGAGTAGAACAGACTCAGTGCTGTGTCCTGCTGTTACCTGCTGCGGTCGCCTGCTGGACGGACTGGCTCCTCGGGGTTCTGCGGCTCTGAACTGTGCTGTTGTTGATTCAGGAAGGGCCAACAGTGTTTCATACAGGGACATTCTGACAAGTTTATTTACTCATACAGTTATCAAACACATGGGTTTAGTTTGGAATTTAGAGATTCACTTCAACATATTCTCATGGATATGACTGAGCTGTAGTATCAATACTACAGACGCCCTCCACAAGAAGGACCTGAGGAGGCTCTACTGCTGAGGAGGCTCTACTGCTGAGGAGGCTCTACTGCTGAGGAGGCTCTACTGCTGAGGAGGCTCAGGTCTTTTGGAGTGCAGGGGCCACTCCTGATGACTTTATGGTAAGGTCTGCAGCAGCAGCATCACAAAGAGGGACAGGAAGAAGCTGGAACATCAGGAAGTCCAACTCTGTCCTGTTCCCTGGACATAGTGCAGCAGGTGGGGACAGGAGGGTCCAGGACAAACTAACATCTGTGTGGACCATGACAGCGCCCCCTGCAGGACTCTGTCTGCTCTGGAGAGCAGCTTCAGCGACAGCCAAAGGTGAAGCTACCTTACAACATTAAAACCTGTGTCTTTTATTCAAGTGGACAAAAATATACTTTCAAATGTTGCTCATGCAGCTTATACACGTGTGCGCCCAACGATCCAGAATCAGTTTTAGATGTTACACATTTAAAAAGAAAACAAAGCAAAGGCAGTCAGAGGATGAGCTGGACTCTATGTTGGATACAAACAAACCTCAGACAGAGACATGAGGATCTCCTGCCGCTGCTTCTCCTGCAGACGGATACATTCTGCCTCCTGCCGGCAGAGGACCGCACGTTACACACAAACCCAACAACCACACACAACATGAGAACCACACACAACATGAGAACCACACACAACATGAGAACCACACAACACAAGAACCACTCACACGAGAACCACGCATACAACATGAGAACCACACACAACATGAGAACCACGCATTAAGCAAAATTTTAGAAAAACTTGTTTTTACCCAGCTCAATGCCTTTTTAGATCAGCAGCAAATTTTAGAGAAATTTCAATCAGGATTTAGGGTGAACCACAGCACAGAGACTGCTCTTTTAAAGATTTTAAACGATTTTAGACTAAATTATGATTCTAAAAAGGTGACCGTGTTGGTTCTACTGGATCTTAGCGCTGCCTTCGACACAGTAGACCACACCATTCTTTTATCACGCCTACAACACCTCGGCCTCTCTGGTGCTGTCCACAAATGGTTCACTTCTTATTTAACAGACAGATCCTTCATGGTAAGTGTGGATACCTGCTCCTCTCAGGTCCATAAAATCACATGTGGTGTGCCCCAGGGTTCCATTTTAGGTCCAGTCCTTTTTAACCTGTACATGCTCCCTCTTGGCGGTGTCATCAGGAGACATGGAATTGACTTCCACAGTTATGCAGATGATACACAGCTGTACATTTCCATGTCTCCTGATGATACACAGCTGTACATTTCCATGTCTCCTGATGATACACAGCTGTACATCTCCATGTCTCTAATGATACACAGCTGTACATCTCCATGTCTCTGATGATACACAGCTGTACATCTCCATGTCTCTGATGATACACAGCTGTACATCTCCATGTCTCCTGATGATACACAGCTGTATCTCCATGTCTCCTGATGATACACAGCTGTACATCTCCATGTCTCTGATGATATACAGCTGTACATCTCCATGTCTCTAATGATACACAGCTGTACATCTCCATGTCTCTGATGATACACAGCTGTACATCTCCATGTCTCTGATGATACACAGCTGTACATCTCCATGTCTCTGATGACACCAGGCCAATGGATGCTCTTTTTAACTGCATTTTAGACCTGAAATCCTGGATGGCAGAAAACTTTCTCCAGCTCAACCAGGACAAAACTGAGGTTTTAGTCATCGGCCCTGAGGCCCAGAGAGAGAAACTTTTACCGAAACTCCAATCACACTCTTTTAATCCATCATCACAAGTGAGAAACCTGGGCGTAATCTTTGACTCTGAGCTGACTTTTATTCGTCACATCAAGAACATCACAAAAATAGGTTTTTATCATTTAAAGAACATCGCCAGAGTCCGCCCCATTCTCTCTCGGGGCAACACGGAGACGCTGATGCTTTTATCACCAGTCGCATTGAACTACTGTAATGCCCTGCTCTCTGGTCTTCCCAAAAAGAACATTTCAGGTTTACAATGACTTAAAAACTCGGCCGCACGTGTCCTGACTAAGACCAGGGGGCGTGTCCTGACTAAGACCAGGGGGCGTGTCCTGACTAAGACCAGGGGGCGTGTCCTGACTAAGACCAGGGGGCGTGTCCTGACTAAGACCAGGGGGCGGGACCACATTACACCGGTTTTAAAATCGCTGCATTGGCTCCCTGTGTGTTTCAGGATCGATTTTAAGGTTCTTTTAATGGTTTTTAAATGTCTTAATGGTCTTGGGCCTTCTTATCTTTCAGAGCTGCTTTTATCCTATGAACCTTCCCGGCCCCTGCGCTCCTCCGGCAGCAGACTCCTAACCATCCCCAAAGTCAGGACACACACTCACGGCGAGGCATCTTTCCAGCACTACGGCCCCCGTCTCTGGAACAGTCTGAGGAGGAGCTCAGGGCCGCAGAGAACGTTCATATTTTTAAGAGTAGGCTCAAGACACACCTTTTTAGATTAGCTTTTGATTAGTATTTATTATCTATTATTGCTTTTTAGTACATCTATTTATGTTTTTAGACGGATTATATTTTTATTTATTTTTATTATTTACTATTTTTAATTATTTATTGTATCTACCCATTTACTATTGTTATTATCAATATTAGGCAGCTGCCATTTTTCTTTTTATTGTCACATTTTATTGTTCTACTTTCTATTGTATTATTGTATTGTTTTAGTGTCCCCAGTGTTTCCTCTGGAGGAGCCCTCTGCACTGAGAGCTGGGGTCTGCTGTGGCTTCGGGGGTCTGGCTCTTGGATCCGGTGGGGGTCTGGGGCCTCCTCTCTCCTCTGGGTCCTATGGGGTCTGAGTCCTGGGCCTGGTGGGGTCAGGGGCCCCTCTCTCCACTGGGTCCTGTGTCGTTGCCTGTGGCTGCAGCCGGCTCTCTGCTCCTGGTGCAGATGGCTCCTTGGATGGCGCTTCTTCAGCGGGTTACATCTGCTCCCAGCCCCATTTCTTTTATTGTTTTACCTATTTTACCTGATATGACTTTATACTTGTATGTGTGTGTGTGTGTGTGTGTGTGTGTGTGTGTGTGTGTGTGTATACGCACGTGGTTGTATATATAATTATAAATGTGGTTTTGGGGGGGTCTGTGGGGAGGAGGGTTTAGGGCTGGGCATGTTGGATTGTTTTTAACTAAACTGTAAAGCACTTTGTGTTACACTTTTTGTATGAAAAGCGCTTTATAAATAAAATTTGATTGATTGATTGATTGATACAACATGAGAACCACACACAACATGAGAACCACACACAACATGAGAACCACGCATACAACATGAGAACCACACACAACATGAGAACCACACACAACATGAGAACCACACACAACATGAGAACCACACATACAACATGAGAACCACACATACAACATGAGAACCACACACAACATGAGAACCACACATACAACATGAGAACCACACATACAACATGAGAACCACACATACAACATGAGAACCACACACACAACACGAGAACCACACATACAACATGAGAACCACACATACAACATGAGAACCACACATACAACATGAGAACCACACACACAACATGAGAACCACACACACAACATGAGAACCACACACACCTGTTTGATGAAGTCCTCCTCCTCCTCCACAAAGGAGCCCAGCGCCGTCTGCACCTCGGCCTTGAACCTGAGAGAGGACCGCGAGTGTCACATTCATCTGTTATCATTAGTCACAACCTCCAGCTGGGACTCTGAGGAGCACAGGGACTGGCCTCCTGCTGGGACTCTGGGGAGCACAGGGACTGGCCTCCTGCTGGGACTCTGGGGAGCACAGGGACTGGCCTCCAGCTGGGACTCTGGGGAGCACAGGGACTGGCCTCCAGCTGGGACTCTGGGGAGCACAGGGACTGGCCTCCAGCGGACTGGGGCCAGCGGACTCTGGGGGAGCACAGGGACTGGCCTCCAGCTGGGACTCTGGGAGCACAGGGGACTGGCCTCCAGCTGGGACTCTGGGAGCACGGACGGGGACTGGCAGCTGGGACTCTGAGGAGCACAGGGACTGGCCTCCTGCTGGGACTCTGAGGAGCACAGGGACTGGCCTCCAGCTGGGACTCTGGGAGCACAGGGACTGGCCTCCAGCTGGGACTCTGAGGAGCACAGGGACTGGCCTCCTGCTGGGACTCTGAGGAGCACAGGGACTGGCCTCCTGCTGGGACTCTGAGGAGCACAGGGACTGGCCTCCTGCTGGGACTCTGAGGAGCACAGGGACTGGCCTCCTGCTGGGACTCTGAGGAGCACAGGGACTGGCCTCTTCTATGACAAGGTTCAAATCCAGCTAAAAAGGATTTTATCTTTATTCTGTTTATTGTACTGTGATTATTGGTGATGTTACGCCTTGGTGACTGTTTCCATCTTGTTTTGTTCAGCACTTTGAGTTTCCTTGTGCATGAACTGTGCTATACAGATAAACATGACTTGACTCCATAGTTTATAATATGTTATCTTAAAGTAGTACTAGAATTTAATATGCTGCTATCCAGAATATATAACTATAATATGTGTTTATAATATTTCGGGTGTTCATTTTGACATGTTCAGATGGATTATGTTAAAAAAACAGCTTTGAAGTCGGACCTTTTCACAAACGCTAGGGGGAGCCAAAATGGCGGCGATGACGTAGGAGAAGGACCTCTCACAGCAGCAGACAGCAGTCTTAGCATTGAATATTACAATGTACATTGTGGTAAATAAATCTAAGGCAACCAAAGTGAGACTGGCATAATGTGAAAACAAATATTAGCCTTGTTAGCATGTTTTATGATATCAAGTAGAGTTAGCTAACTTGCCCAACACTAATTAGCTTGAATCTCACAAATAAGGCTAAAAGGTTAAAAGAGTTGTGCACTATTATGTACAAAACTGATGAAAATATGTTTATACCTTGTTCAGATGACAGTGAAACCTCCTACAGATTCAGCCCAGACTGCTGCTGCTGCTGTGAGAGGTCCTTCTCCTACGTCATCGCCGCCATTTTGGCGCCCCCTAGCGTTTCTATGCGGAAGTGAAAAGGTGCCACTTCAAAGCAGTTTTTTTTTAACATAATTCATCTGAACATGTCAAAATGAACACCCGAAATATTATAAACACATATTGTAGTTATATATTCTGGATAGCAGCATATTAAATTCTAGTACTACTTTAAATACTAGATCCTGTGTGATGTGTGCATAACCTCATTTTGCTCTGCTGAAATTTGCGCAACTATGACATTGAAATTTCCTTTAAATCATAAACGCCCAAATAAGTAATCGGCCTCTTCCGCGTCAAGGCCACGATGGTGATGTCACACGTGGTCAGTTCTGGTCTATGGTGCGGTTTAAGTGTATATTATCTACTCTTAAGCCTAGTGTATACTCGCGGCGCGGAGCTTACGGAGGTGACGTCACTTGCGCAACGCGTTGGTCACCGCAAGGCCCTTACGTCGCCTGCCGCGCAGCATCGACATTTTCTAACTACGTAAGGGTCGCCGCAAGGAAGCTCCGCTGTGATTGGTCCGTGTGTGTGTGTATTGGAAGGAAGCACGGAGCGGCTGCAGCAGGAGCATGGACGAGGAACTATGGAGCAGAGAGCTTTGTGCTTCGAAGGAAAAGCAGTTTGGGCTCAGAGCCTGATATACAGGAGACTGTGGACTATCTAACATATATATAACTTATATCTAACTTATATATAACTTATATCTAACATATATATAACTTATATCTAACATATATAGAACTTATATCTAACATATATAGAACTTATATCTAACATATATATAACTTATATCTAACTTATATATAACTTATATCTAACATATATATAACTTATATCTAACATATATATAACTTATAAACTGTGCAGTTGTTTGTTTTGCACTGTTCCTGTCTTTGTTTGAATCGTAGCTGCGTTTGTTGCTTTCCTCCTGCACTCGTAAATCGTTCATGTTTGTCTCAGATATTTACCACTATTATTGTTTTGCTGTTTGTGCTGAAAACTATTTAATAATAACTATGTTTCCAACAAGAACTGTGTCTTTATTCACAGTATCACAGTTGAAATGACTTATAAAATAATGAATCCATAAAACTATCACATAAACCTACAGTAGAAACATGTGTAAAGAGCTCAAACAGCTTTGTTTGTTATTGTTGTTCTGAAGAGGACAAAGTAGCAGCGTAAATGGGACCGCTCCTGTGTGATCGCCCTCATGTGGTTTGTTGTGGGATTACAACATTCTCCTCAAAACTCCGTAAGGGGAACGCGTCAGTATAACATCAATTGTGCTCACGTAGGTCCACCGCAACCGCTAACGTAAGCCACGCCGCGCAAGTATACACTAGGCTTTATGATGCACACTGCAACAAGTGACCACAAATGAGTCAAAAACTGCTCAAATTTGGCTAAATGTGTCTTAATCTGAGCACATACGGACTGAGCTTTAAAACAAGATTTGCCGATGAGACGAAACAAAATAATCTTGTTTTAAAACAACAAAAGAAATGTCTCCCTTGGAATGAGAAAATAATTACCTGTCGACTTCCTCTTTGGAGAAAAGGAACTTCTCTTTGAGCTTCTGTTCTGCTTTGTTCTGCCACCAGAACGTGTGAGTGTTCTTCCTGTGCTCCGGCCTGGAATCAGACAGAGACGATAAGAGCGGACCACAGGACGGAGCTATTTCAGAGAGATTTTCATTGTTGTTACAAATGGGATTAATGAATGTGGATCTAAGGCCCGAGGCCTTGGTCTACGGCCTCGGTCCTGGGTCTACAGCCTCGGTCCTGGGTCTACAGCCTCGGTCCTGGGTCTACAGCCTCGGTCTACAGCCTCGGTCCTGGGTCTACAGCCTCAGTCCCGGGTCTACAGCCTCGGTCCTGGGTCTACAGTCTCGGTCCTGGGTCTACAGCCTCAGTCCTGGGTCTACAGCCTCAGTCCTGGGTCTACAGCCTCAGTCCTGGGCCTACAGCCTCAGTCCTGGGCCTACAGCCTCAGTCCTGGGTCTACAGTCTCAGTCCTTGGTCTACAGTCTCGGTCCTGGGCCTACAGCCTCAGTCCTGGATCTACAGCCTCAGTCCTGGGTCTACAGCCTCAGTCCTGGGTCTACAGCCTCAGTCCTGGGTCTACAGCCTCAGTCCTGGGCCTACAGCCTCAGTCCTGGGTCTACAGCCTCAGTCCTGTCAGTCCCGGGTCTACAGCCCTGGGCCTACAGCCTCAGTCCTGGATCTACAGCCTCAGTCCTGGGTCTACAGCCTCAGTCCTGGGTCTACAGCCTCAGTCCTGGGCCTACAGCCTCAGTCCTGGATCTACAGCCTCAGTCCTGGGCCTACAGCCTCAGTCTGGGCCTTCAGCCTCAGTCCTGGGCCTACAGCCTCAGTCCTGGGTCTACAGCCTCAGTCCCGGGTCTACAGCCTCAGTCCTGGGTCTACAGCCTCAGTCCTGGGTCTACAGCCTCAGTCCTGCAGGGTCTACAGCCTTCCATTCAAACCCAGTTCTTACGTTGCCATGTGCTCGATGAGTCCAGCAAAGAGCACCATCATGTTTCCGTCCGTCACGTTTTTCTCCACTTCGAGTCCGCAGCAGTAACACCAGAACTTCTGAGTGTGAAGAGAGCCGTCGAACTTCTGCACCTGAGGCTTTTTCAGCAGCCGCCGAGCCTCTTTCACCTCGACACAGATCAAACCACACTTAAGTATAAGTCAAGGGTTTTCATGTGGTAATGTAGCAGAGATGTTTACAACTATATATTTCTTGCAGTAGATTCATAATATACAGTGTTTTATCCTTGCTTCCTCATTGTGCTAAACCTAGAGATTTTTTACTTGTGTGTGTGTAGTTGTACAGTAGTTGTGTCCACAGGGAAGAGAGACCAGAGTCTGCAGTAAATCCAAACACACAGGACACAAGAAGAGCTCTGTCTGCGCCATCGCTGCTGCTACAGTTTCACTGACACGGAAATGAAACTTATGAGAGAGAGAGGAGGAGGGAGGAGAGAGAGAGACGAGGGAGAGAGAGGAGAGGGAGAGAGAGAGGGAGGAGGGAGGGGCCAGTGTGTGTGTGAGTCATAGATGTGTGCGTGCGCTAACAAGGAAATGACAGAGAATCAAGTGTGTACCTGCAAAAATCCCCAAAAATACAAGGATCAGTGTCGATAATGGACGACTCTGATAAAGTTTACTACAGTTCTACTGTCAGCAGCTAAAACCTCTGGATCTACTTTACACTGCAGTCTGTGAGAGAGACCAGAGAGAGAGAGACCAGAGAGAGACCAGAGAGAGAGACCAGAGAGAGAGACCAGAGAGAGAGAGACCAGAGAGAGACCAGAGAGAGAGAGAGACCAGAGAGAGACCAGAGAGAGACCAGAGAGAGAGAGTAGACCAGAGAGAGACCAGAGAGAGAGAGAGAGACCAGAGAGAGTAAGACCAGAGAGAGACCAGAGAGAGAGAGAGACCAGAGAGAGAGAGAGACCAGAGAGAGAGAGACCAGAGAGAGAGAGAGACCAGAGAGAGATAGACTAGAGAGAGAGAGACCAGAGAGAGAGAGAGACCAGAGAGAGAGAGAGACCAGAGAGAGAGAGAGAGAGACCAGAGAGAGAGAGAGACCAGAGAGAGTGACCAGAGAGAGACCAGAGAGAGAGACCAGAGAGAGAGAGACCAGAGAGAGAGACCAGAGAGAGATAGACTAGAGAGAGAGAGTCCAGAGAGAGAGAGACCAGAGAGAGGCCAGAGAGAGATAGACTAGAGAGAGAGAGAGAGACCAGAGAGAGAGAGACCAGAGAGAGATAGACTAGAGAGAGAGAGACCAGAGAGAGAGACACCAGAGAGAGAGATAGAGACCAGAAAGAGAGACCAGAGAGAGAGAGAGACCAGAGAGAGATAGACTAGAGAGAGAGAGACCAGAGAGAGAGACCAGAGAGAGACCAGAGAGACCAGAAGAGAGAGACCAGAGAGAGACCAGAGAGACCAGAGAGAGAGATCCAGAGAGAGAGAGACCAGAGAGAACAGAGAGACCAGAGAGAGAGACCAGAGAGAGACCAGAGAGACCAGAGAGAGAAGACCAGAGAGAGACCAGAGAGAGAGACCAGAGAGAGACCAGAGAGAGAGAGAGAGAGACCAGAGAGAGAGACCAGAGAGAGACCAGAGAGACAGGGCAGGGTGGAGGAGGTCCAAGATAAGTACGGAAGGGACCATGTTGTGAAGTGCTTTGAAAGTGGTGGGCGGAGTATTTTGAAGTTGATGCGTTTGTTTAACAGGAAGTCAGTGGAGTTGTCGGGGGTGATGTGGTCAGCTGTGGGGGTCCGGGTGATGTGAGGGTGATGTGGTCAGCTGTGGGGGTCCGGGTGATGTGGGGGTGATGTGGTCAGCTGTGGGGGTCCGGGTGATGTGGGGGTGATGTGGTCAGCTGTGGGGGTCCGGGTGATGTGGGGGTGATGTGGTCAGCTGTGGGGGTCCGGGTGATGTGGGGGTGATGTGGTCAGCTGTGGGGGTCCGGGTGATGTGGGGGTGATGTGGTCAGCTGTGGGGGTCCGGTGATGTGAGCTGCAGCTGCAGTTTCTGGAGGGATTTGTGGGGAGGCCAAAGAGAAGTGAGCTGCAGTAGTTAATCCTAGAGGTGACGAGGCTGTGATGGCGGTGGTGTGGGGGGTGGGAGAGGGGCGGAGACGAGAGATATTGCGCAGGTGGAAGTAGAAAGACAGAGTTATGTTATTGATGTGAGATTGGAAGGGGTCCGAGGGACACCCAGACTCTTGACCTGAGGGGAGGGGAGGACAGATGTGTTATGGATGGAGACAGAGAAGCTGTTAGATTTGGAGAGAGTGGAGGGGGGGGGGGGGGTGCCTATGAGAAGGACTTCTGTTTTAGAGCTGTTGAGTTTGAGAAAGTTGGAAGAGAACCAGGAATGAATTTCTTGTAGACAGAGGGTGAGGGAGGATGGAGGGAGAGAGGGAGAGGGTTCAGTGGAGAGGTAGAGCTGGGTGTCATCCGCGTAACAGTGGAAGTGAATGTTGTGACGGCGGAGGATGTGACCGAGTGGGAGAATATAGATGATGAAGAGGAGGGGCCCCAGGATAGAGCCCTGGGGCACACCAGCGGAGACAGGAAAAGAGCTGGATTTGTGGGATTTGAGATGGATGTATTGTGAGCGACCAGAAAGACAGGAGGTGAACCAGGCGAGGGGGGTGTGGGTGATGCCGATGGAGGAGAGTCTGTTAAGGAGAGTGGAGGGAGAGATGGTGTCAAAGTCTGCAGTGAGGTCAAGAAGGATGAGGATGAAGAGTAAACCGGAGTCAGAGCCTATGAGGAGGTCGTTGGTGATTTTTAGCAGTGCTGTTTCGGTGCTGTGGAGGGGACGGAAACCAGACTGAAATTGTTCCTAGATGTCGTTAGCGGTGAGGTGGTTGTGGAGTTGAGCAGCGACAGATTTTTCAAGTATTTTGGAGATGAAGGGAGGGTTTGAGATGGGACGGAGGTTGTTGAAGTTGGTGGGATCCAGAACAGGTTTTTTTTGAGAATGGGTGAGACTGAGGCAGGAAATAAGTCAAAAATGTCTAAAATTTGGCAAAATATGTCTTAATCTGAGCACATTCTGACTGAGACCTAAAACAATGTTTAACAAAGAGACAAAGCAAAATGATCTAGTTTTAAAAAGATACAGAAATGTCTCCCTGAGAATGTGTGTATGTGTGTGTATGTGTGTGTCAGTGTTTATGTGTGTGTTTGTCTGAGGCTGAGAATTTTTAACCCTCACACACACAGATAAAAACACACACTATTTTAACCCTCACACACACAGATAAAAACACACACTATTTTAACCCTCCACACACACAGATAAAAACACACACTATTTTAACCCTCACACACACAGATACAAACACACACTATTTTAACCCTCACACACACAGATAAAAACACACACTATTTTAACCATCACACACACACAGATACAAATACACACTATTTTAACCATCACACACACAGATAAAAACACACACTATTTTAACCATCACACACACAGATAAAAACACACACTATTTTAACCCTCACACACACAGATAAAAACACACACTATTTTAACCATCACACACACAGATAAAAACACACACTATTTTAACCATCACACACACAGATAAAAACACACACTATTTTAACCCTCACACACAGATAAAAACACACACTATTTTAACCATCACACACACAGATAAAAACACACACTATTTTAACCCTCACACACACAGATAAAAACACACACTATTTTAACCCTCACACACACAGATAAAAACACACACTATTTTAACCCTCACACACACAGATAAAAACACACACTATAGTTCAGTCGTGTCAAACTCAGTCCATTTTTATCGTTCCCTAAAATGATTTTTGATTATTATGAACTTGCAGCGTTGATGGTGCGTGTGTGTGTTTGTGTGTGTATGCATGTGTGTATGCCAATGTGTGAGTGTGTGTGTCTATGCATGTGTGTTTGTGTGTGTGTGTGTGTGCATATTTGTGCGGGTGTGACAGGGTGTGTGTGTTTGTTAGTTTCTATGCGTCACTGTGTGTGTGGGTGTTTGCCAGTGTGTTTGTGATTGTGTGTGTCTGAATGAGTGTGTGTGTGTGTCTATGTGTGTGTGTGTCTATATGTGTGTGTCTATGTGTGTATCTATGTGTGTGTGTCTATGTGTGTGTGTCTATGTGTACGTCTATGTTTGTGTGTCTCTGTGTGTGTGTCTATGTGTGTGTGTCTATATGTGTGTGTCTGTGTGTGTGTGTCTATGTGTGTGTGTCTCTGTGTGTGTCCAAACGTCCCGCACACACACTACAGTACCTTTGACACTGTCTTCATTGTTGTTGTGTGTCTGATTCAAATCCACAGTAAACTTCTTTCTGTAGAATGACTTTTGTTGCTTCTGGTTCAGTCTTTATTCAACACATTTCTCTGCATTCATAGAATCTATCAAATCTAAATCTTTCATTTTCTCTAACAATAACAAGTGTTTTAGAACAATCCATTCTACACACATGTTTTTTGGACGCTCAGAGACACTTCTCAGCTTTATTCTTTCTCCAAAAGTGAAGCGTCTGGATTGACTTGTGACTGACACTGACCCGGCCCAAAAGTGGTTGGACTGGTTCTGAACAATGCAGAAGAAAGTCTGTGTTCTTAAGCTTTGTACATGTACTCTGGTATTATGTTAGAGTAAAGTTACTATCTATGTATGTGCTGCTGCTACTCGAGTACTACTGTCATCTATGTATGTGCTGCTGCTACTCGAGTACTACTGTCATCTATGTATGTGCTGCTGCTACTCGAGTACTACTGTAATCTATGTATGTGCTGCTGCTACTCGAGTACTACTGTCATCTATGTATGTGCTGCTGCTACTCGAGTACTACTGTCATCTATGTATGTGCTGCTGCTACTCGAGTACTACTGTCATCTATGTATGTGCTGCTGCTACTCGAGTACTACTGTAGTGTATGTATGTGCTACTGCTACTCGAGTATTACTGTAGTGTATGTATGTGCTGATGCTACTCGAGTACTACTGTCATCTATGTATGTGTGTGTCTCTGTTTGTGTGTCTATGTGTGTGTGTTTGTGTCTCTGTCTGTGTGTCTATGTGAGTGTGTGTGTCTCTGTCTGTGTGTCTATGTGTGTGCGTGTCTATGTCTGTGTGTCTATGTGTGTGTGTGTGTCCATGTCTAAGTCTATGTGTGTGTCCATTAACCTGGCCCTCCACCACATCCTACAGCACCTGGACTCCCCGGGGACCTACGCCAGGGTCCTGTTCGTGGACTTCAGCTCTGCCTTCAACACAATCCTGCCGTCCCTGCTCCAGGACAAGCTCTCCCAGCTCAACGTGCCCGATTCCACCTGCAGGTGGATCACTGACTTCCTGACGGACAGGAAGCAGCGAGTGCGTCTGGGGAAGAATGTCTCGGACTCTCGGATTATAAATACAGGAGCCCCACAGGGCTGTGTTCTTTCTCCCCTGCTCTTCTCCCTGTACACCAACCACTGCACCTCCAGCCACGACTCCGTGAAGCTGATCAAGTTCACGGACGACACCACCCTCATTGGACTCATCTCCAACAACGATGAGTCCGCCTACAGGAGGAGGTGGACCGGCTGGTGTCCTGGTGCAGTGGTAACAACCTGGAGCTGAACGCCCAGAAGACAGTGGAGATGATTGTGGACTTCAGGAAGAGCACTGTCCACCCGCCCCCACCCTCCGTGATGGACTCCCCCATCACCTCTGTGGAGTCCTATCGTTTCCTGGGCACCACCATCACCAGGACCTCAAGTGGGAGCCGACCATCAGCTCCTCATCAAGAAGGCCCAGCAGAGGATGTACTTCCTGCGGCAGCTCAGGAAAGTCGAGCTGCCTGCACAGATGTTGGTGCAGTTCTACACGGCCATCACCTCCTTCATCACCTCCTCTATCACCTCCTCCATCACCTCCTCCATCACCTCCTCCATCACCTCCTTCATCACCACATCATCACCTCCTCCATCACCTCCTCCATCACCTCCTCCATCACCTCCTCCAACACCTCCTCCATCACCTCCTCCATCACCTCCTCCATCACCTCGTCCATCACCTCCTCCATCACCTCCTCCATCACCTCCTCCATCACCTCCTCCATTACCTCCTCCATCACCGTGTGGTTCGCTGGAGCCACAGTCAGGGACAAACAGAGACTACAGCGCATCGTGCACTCTGGAGAGAAAGTGATCGGCCGCAGCCTTCCATCGCTGCAGGACCTGTACGTCGCCCGAGCTCGAGGCCGGGCTGGTCGTATCACAGCCGACCCCTCTCACCCTGCACATGGACTATTCCAACCACTCCCCTCAGGCAGGAGGCTGCGGTCCATCAGGACTAGAACCTCCCGCCACAAGGACAGTTTCTTCCCCTCTGCTGTTGGACTCTTGAACACTTCTTAACCTGTCCCCCCGCCCTTTATAAAGTCACTTTACTGCCCTTTATAAAACTTTACTGCCCTTTATAAGTCACTTTACTGCCCTTTAGTCCTTATAAGTCACTTACTGCCTTTATAAAGTCCTTTACTGCCCTTTATAAAGTCACTTTACTGCCCTTTATAAAGTCACTTTACTGCCCTTTATAAAGTCACTTTACTGCCCTTTATAAAGTCACTTTACTGCCCTTTATAAAGTCACTTTACTGCCCTTTATAAAGTCACTTTACTGCCCTTTATAAAGTCACACTTTACTGCCCTTTATAAAGTCACTTTACTGCCCTTTATAAAGTCACTTTACTGCCCTTTATAAAGTCACTTTACTGCCCTTTATAAAGTCACTTTACTGCCCTTTATAAAGTCACTTTACTGCCCTTTACATTGTGTGCACCATGTGCACTTGTATATTGTTTATAGTAATTGTAACTCTATTTTAAATGTATTCCTTAGAAGTGTTTTTATTCTTTATTTTGTATTATGCCGTCTCTGCCCTTACCTCTCTTTCTGACTGTTGCACTGAACCAAAGCATTTTCCAACTCTGTGACTTCCTGTTACTTATGTGGCAATAAAAATGATTCTGATTCTGATATATGTGTGTGTGTGTGTGTCTATTTTTGTGTGTCTGTGTGTGTGTGTCTCTGTGTGTGTCCAAACGTCCCGCACACACACTACAGTACCTTTGACACTGTCTTCATTGTTGTTGTGTGTCTGATTCAAATCCACAGTAAACTTCTTTCTGTAGAATGACTACTGTCATCTATGTATGTGCTGCTGCTACTCGAGTACTACTGTAGTGTGTGTATGTGCTGCTGCTACTCGAGTACTACTGTAGTTTATGTATGTGCTGCTGATTCTCGAGTACTACTGTAGTGTGTGTTACTCTGCCTCAGTGAATTTCCAGTGTGTGTGTGTGTAGTTGTACAGTAGTTGTGTCCACAGGGAAGAGAGACCGGAGTCTGCAGTAAATCCAAACACACAGGACACAAGAAGAGCTCTGTCTGCGCCATCGCTGCTGCTACAGTTTCACTGACACGGAAATGAAACTTATGAGAGAGAGAGAGAGACGGAGGGAGGGAGAGAGAGAGGGAGAGAGAGAGAGGGAGGGAGAGAGAGGGAGGGAGAGAGGGAGGGAGAGAGGGGCCAGTGTGTGTGTGAGTCATAGATGTTTGCGTGCGCTAACAAGGAAATGACAGAGAATCAAGTGTGTACCTGCAAAAATCCCCAAAAATACAAGGATCAGTGGCGATAATGGACGACTCTGATAAAGTTTACTACAGTTCTACTGTCAGCAGCTAAAACCTCTGGATCTACTTTACACTGCAGTCTGTGAGAGAGACCAGAGAGAGAGAGAGACCAGAGAGAGACCAGAGAGAGACCAGAGAGAGACCAGAGAGAGACCAGAGAGAGAGACCAGAGAGAGACCAGAGAGAGACCAGAGAGAGAGAGAGAGACCAGAGAGAGAGAGATAGACCAGAGAGAGACCAGAGAGAGAGAGAGAGACCAGAGAGAGAGAGAGACCAGAGAGAGAGAGAGACCAGAGAGAGATAGACTAGAGAGAGAGAGAGACCAGAGAGAGAGAGAGACCAGAGAGAGAGATAGACCAGAGAGAGAGAGACCAGAGAGAGAGAGACCAGAGAGAGAGACCAGAGAGAGATAGACTAGAGAGAGAGAGAGACCAGAGAGAGAGAGACCAGAGAGAGGCCAGAGAGAGATAGACTAGAGAGAGAGAGAGACCAGAGAGAGAGAGACCAGAGAGAGAGAGACCAGAGAGAGATAGACTAGAGAGAGAGAGACCAGAGAGAGAGACACCAGAGAGAGAGAGAGAGACCAGAGAGAGATAGAGACCAGAAAGAGAGACCAGAGAGAGAGAGAGAGACCAGAGAGAGATAGAGACCAGAAAGAGAGACCAGAGAGAGAGAGAGAGAGAGAGACCAGAGAGAGATAGACTAGAGAGAGAGAGACCAGAGAGAGAGACACCAGAGAGAGAGAGAGAGACCAGAGAGAGATAGAGACCAGAAAGAGAGACCAGAGAGAGAGAGAGAGAGAGACCAGAGAGAGATAGAGACCAGAAAGAGAGACCAGAGAGAGAGAGAGAGAGAGACCAGAGAGAGATAGACTAGAGAGAGAGACACCAGAGAGAGAGAGAGAGACCAGAGAGAGATAGAGACCAGAAAGAGAGACCAGAGAGAGAGAGAGAGAGAGACCAGAGAGAGATAGACTAGAGAGAGAGAGACCAGAGAGAGAGACCAGAGAGAGAGAGCCCAGAGAGAGAGACCAGAGAGAGACCAGAGAGACCAGAGAGAGAGACCAGAGAGAGAGAGACCAGAGAGAGACCAGAGAGACCAGAGAGAGAGACCAGAGAGAGACCAGAGAGAGACCAGAGAGACCAGAGAGAGAGTTGGAAGAGAACCAGGAATGAATTTCTTGTAGACAGAGGGTGAGGGAGGATGGAGGGAGAGAGGGAGAGGGTTCAGTGGAGAGGTAGAGCTGGGTGTCATCCGCGTAACAGTGGAAGTGAATGTTGTGACGGCGGAGGATGTGACCGAGTGGGAGAATATAGATGATGAAGAGGAGGGGCCCCAGGATAGAGCCCTGGGGCACACCAGCGGAGACAGGAAAAGAGCTGGATTTGTGGGATTTGAGATGGATGTATTGTGAGCGACCAGAAAGACAGGAGGTGAACCAGGCGAGGGGGGTGTGGGTGATGCCGATGGAGGAGAGTCTGTTAAGGAGAGTGGAGGGAGAGATGGTGTCAAAGTCTGCAGTGAGGTCAAGAAGGATGAGGATGAAGAGTAAACCGGAGTCAGAGCCTATGAGGAGGTCGTTGGTGATTTTTAGCAGTGCTGTTTCGGTGCTGTGGAGGGGACGGAAACCAGACTGAAATTGTTCCTAGATGTCGTTAGCGGTGAGGTGGTTGTGGAGTTGAGCAGCGACAGATTTTTCAAGTATTTTGGAGATGAAGGGAGGGTTTGAGATGGGACGGAGGTTGTTGAAGTTGGTGGGATCCAGAACAGGCTTTTTTTGAGAATGGGTGAGACTGAGGCAGGAAATAAGTCAAAAATGTCTAAAATTTGGCAAAATATGTCTTAATCTGAGCACATTCTGACTGAGACCTAAAACAATGTTTAACAAAGAGACAACGCAAAATGATCTAGTTTTAAAAAGATACAGAAATGTCTCCCTGAGAATGTGTGTATGTGTGTGTATGTGTTTATGTGTGTGTTTGTCTGAGGCTAAGTGTGTGTGTTTGTCTGAGGCTGAGTGTGTGTGTGTGTATGTGTGTGTATGTCTGAGGCTGAGTGTGTGTGTATGTGTGTGTTTGTCTGTGGCTGAGTGTGTGTGTCTGAGGCTGAGTGTGTCTATGTGTGTGTGTCTGTGTGTATGTGTGTGTCAGTGTTTATGTGTGTGTGTCTATGTGTATGTCTATGTGTGTGTGTATGTGTGTGTGTGTTTCTGTGTGTTTGTGTCTATGTGTGTGTGTCTGTGTGTGTGTATCTATGTGTGTGTGTCTGTGTGTGTGTCTGTGTGTGTGTGTGTCTATGTGTGTGTTTCTATATGTGTGTGTGTCTATGTGTGTGTTTCTAAATGTGTGTGTGTGTCAATGTGTGTGTTTCTATATGTGTGTGTCTATGTGTGTGTGTCTATAAGTGTGTGTCTCTGTGTGTGTCCAAACGTCCCACACACACACTACAGTACCTTTGACACTGTCTTCATTGTTGTTGTGTGTCTGATTCAAATCCACAGTAAACTTCTTTCTGTAGAATGACTTTTGTTGCTTCTGGTTCAGTCTTTATTCAACACATTTCTCTGCATTCATAGAATCTATCAAATCTAAATCTTTCATTTTCTCTAACAATAACAAGTGTTTTAGAACAATCCATTCTACACACATGTTTTTTGGACGCTCAGAGACACTTCTCAGCTTTATTCTTTCTCCAAAAGTGAAGCGTCTGGATTGACTTGTGACTGACACTGACCCGGCCCAAAAGTGGTTGGACTGGTTCTGAACAATGCAGAAGAAAGTCTGTGTTCTTAAGCTTTGTACATGTACTCTGGTATTATGTTAGAGTAAAGTTACTATCTATGTATGTGCTGCTGCTACTCGAGTACTACTGTCATCTATGTATGTGCTGCTGCTACTCGAGTACTACTGTCATCTATGTATGTGCTGCTGCTACTCGAATACTACTGTCATCTATGTATGTGCTGCTGCTACTCGAGTACTACTGTAGTGTGTGTATGTGCTGCTGCTACTCGAGTACTACTGTCATCTATGTATGTGCTGCTGCTACTCGAGTACTACTGTCATCTATGCATGTGCTGTTGCTACTCGAGTACTTCTGTCATCTATGCATGTGCTGTTGCTACTCGAGTACTGCTGTCATCTATGTATGTGCTGTTGCTACTCGAGTACTACTGTCATGTATGTATGTGCTGCTGCTACTCGAGTACTACTGTCATCTATGTATGTGCTGCTGCTACTCGAGTACTTCTGTCATCTATGTATGTGCTGCTGCTACTCGAGTACTACTGTAGTTTATGTATGTGCTGCTGATACTCGAGTACTACTGTAGTGTGTGTTACTCTGCCTCAGTGAATTTCCAGTGTGTGTGTGTGTAGTTGTACAGTAGTTGTGTCCACAGGGAAGAGAGACCGG